GAGCAGGCTTGAGAAGCATCAGAGCACTCCTACAGTCATGGACAGAGGTGAGGGGTCATTCTAACCCTTCAGGGCTTGGCTGAACAGAGCTAGGCTAACTAAACATGCTGTTAGGCCAGTGGATGTCCTATGATGCTAGGCTAGCTGCTAGGCTGCTTGAACATAGGCCTTTTAGAGCTCCCCTCAAACAAGATCCCGGGGATCTGGGAACAAAGAATCTATGGCCTGAAGTGTGATTGTGCTATAGCTTTTGAAAACTACTATGCCTAGATCTCAGCATCTCATATCTTATATGAAATGAAATGTTTTGCTGAAGAAACTTTTTGTAAATCTATTATATAGATGCCCTAAATTAGGCAATAAGTTGCCAAGGTAGTTCCTAAAAAAAAACTTGACTACAAGTAAGATGTGTTCTTTAAAAATAATGATAATAATAATAAAAAAGTTAGGAGCAGAGAGATATGTTTCATCAACCTGGATCAGTGGGAACTTAATTTCGGGGCTAGATGTTTGATTACTTAGGTCACCCCAAAGTTGCAAAGTGTTTTGCTTTGAAGAGAAAAAGGTAGAGAAAGAGGCAGTCATTCCCTTCTGAAAAAGTATTTGAAGGTTTTTCTATGTAAAATAATTATTTTAATTAATTTAAATAAAACCCAGTCAAGGAGGCTTCAAGTTTATCCAAGATCGGGTTTTAAGAAGTTTAGCTTGCTAAATCGCATTGATTAAGGGTAGAGTTGCACAGCCAATTTTTGTAATTGCTGTCATTAAGTTGTAAATCTCTAAAAAGTTGAATTGGCAAAAGTTGTATGATAGATATATTTACAACAATGACAAAAAAAAGAAAAAGAGTAGCTGCTGAGACTGCTTATGTACAGCCAAAAGCCTCATGGGATTTGGTTTCTTGCTTTGGAAGTTTAGGGTCATGGTTTCATGGTTCATCACAGTTAATTCACCTAAATAACACGTTTAGTGCTTCTGTTCTACCTCCTAGTTCCTAGTTCACTGCGTAGTGCCTGGGGTCTTAACAGCTTGCAAGTGGCTATCCAAGGCACAACAGCTGTTCTCTATTCACCTGGAACAACAGAGGAAGGAGAGTCAGGAATAGGAGGAGGATATGGAATGTGTGGCTAATTGCCACCATGAACAACTGCCTCCTTTGCCATGAGACCAGAAGAACTGGATGGTGCCTGGCTACCATTACTGAACATTTTGATGAAAGGTTCCATAGAAGAATCATGATGAAAAGGGGGAAAATGCAGAGCAGAACTTCAAATTCTCATGGACTCTAGACTTTCTGGAGCCATGGAGGTTGAATGAACCCCTGAAACTATTGCCCTGAGATAATCTTTAAAAACTTGAACAAAATGTCCCCTGAGGTTATCTCAAAACTGTACAATAGTTTAGCGTAACTAGTAAAAAAGGCCTACCTTGAGCATTATGCTCTTTTAAGAACTATCTATACGGGATCAAATTGACAACAGCAACTTGAATGATTAGACAGGAACCTTAAAGAGCAGTGAGTTTATGTTAATGAAGGAGGAATAACTCAGAAAAGGAGGGTGAGAATGGTTGCACAACTTGAAGAATGTAATCAATGTCACTAAATTGTACTTGTAGAAACGGTTGGATTGGTTTATGTTTTGCTGTGTATATTCTCAACAACAAAATAAATTTAGAGGGAAAACAGAAGTGTAGCTTCCTTATAAATATAAAAGGAAGGGATTAAACATTGGTGCTAAAGAATTCAGAAGCCTGATTAAAACAGAAGACCCCATCCTTATGAGACCAATCTTGAAATGAGTTCTATTCTAAAACCATTACTATGTGCCAAGCTATATGCTAGGCACAGGGAATAAGATGATGAAGCATCCCCCCCCGCACCCCTTGGAGTTTACATGCTAGGGGTTATGCTAGAAAATAAACGATTATAAGAAGGGCTATAAACAATTATAAGAAGGGGTATAAAAGAAACAGGTATTGGTTATAGTATTCCAAGAAAAGTCTTTAACATGCTGACTTTAACATCCTTCTCCATGTACACAAAGGTGAACCTCTGAAAAGTGGGTTGTTACTTTTTCTGGATTAATGGCCGTGTTGAGTCAAAGTGGGATGGGGAAGTTTTTCGACGCCCATGTAAAGTGCTAGCTACTTGGATTCAGTCCTTCTCTCTGAGACCAAATTGCCCACTCCTCAAGCCCCCTCCTACAGAAAATTTGGCGTCATCACTGATTAGTGGTACCCCCTACCTAATAGAGTGGTGGGTTAATAATCGGATTTAGAACAAAGAGGATACGGAGAGTTGAGGAAATAGCAGCCTTTTAGAGTAAAATAACTTTAACGTGTGTTCATTCCCCTCTTGGCCCCACTAAATAGCGTCCATTTTGCATGTCAGTTCCTCTTCTTGGAGGCGGTTCCGTCAAGGGGAGGAAGAATGTCTCGATTTCAGTTTGGAGGAAGAAGAGGTCTGGCCGCCAGAAACTGGCTAGCACTTTCGACTATGCAGAGAGGCTGGTGAAGCGCTCTGTCCCTGCCGCTGACCAAGTGGCTGGAGCCTGAGGGCAGGAGAGGGGGAGGGGACGTGAAATCCTGTCACCCTTGCAGAAGGGAAGCTTGGGCCCTGGTAATTCTAGGAAAAGGACTCTCCATAGTGCCTTGGAACTGGTCTCTGACACAGTTAAAAAAAAAGTACTGCGTCAACAAAGATGTCGTTAATAAAGGGTGGGGCACGCCGTGGGGGAGGGGCACGCAGTCGTAAAGGTGCAAGTACGTCTGGGGCTGTCACAATGGTTTGTCTCCCGCTAAGGACGCTGGCACCCCATTGGCCTGGGTCGCTGCACCCCGTAGCCTCGTCAAGTCATATCCCCGCTGCGCCTCTGGGCGCCACAGCTCCTCCTCACGCTGCAACCATTGCGGCTGCTGGTCCAGGCGGCACCGCTTCCAGAGTGGTTCCCAGACCTGGTCCAGCAGACCTCCGACCCCCCAGGGCCGACCGAACCCTGGTCTTTGCCCTCACCTGATCGCCCACCCGAACCGCCCCATACACTTAAACCCCTGCCCCAGTCAGGGGACTTTGACTATGTGGAGTCCCCAGCTCCAGCCCAGATGATGGCCTGGCCTCAGAAGTTCTCTGAGACTTTGGGCACAGATTGGGCTCCAGAGCTGCCTCCTAGGCTGAATCGGTTTGCTGACCCACATCAGGATCTGAATGACAAACTTACTCGGCTTCGGAGGTTCTCGAAGATGGTTCCAATGCTTGATCGGGATCAGAATCAGTTGGTAGCTCTCCCTCGTCGACTCAAAAGTAAGATTGAAACTCCAGGTATGAATCAGGCTGAAGGTCACCAGTCATTTGAAATACTTGTTCCACCTCTAGAGAGTCATAGTTTGAAACCAGATAAGGTTATTGTTTCACCCCCAAACCTGATAAAGGATCTAGCTCAGCAAAGACGGCCTGCTAAGGTTGTTGTTGGAACTTCAGGCCAATTTGCAAAAGCACCTAACCGACTAGACCAACCCATGGACGATTATCTAATAGACCCAAGTTTGGATATAGTGTATCCTCCAGACAAGCTACCTCTGGAATTCCTAGGGACCCCAGATCAGCCTCCAGAGCCCCCTGAGTTTGATCCTACTCTACCTACCGTGGAAGGCCCTGAGCTTCCTGAGGAGGAACTTTCAGTTGAACAAGGAGCCCCATCTCAGCCTCCAGAGTCCCCTCGGGAGGTAGAACCTTTTGCAGTCCAGCAGGAGACCCCAGCTGAACCTCCAGAGCCCCCTGAGATTGAAGAACCTTCTCCAGTCCAGCAAGAGGCCTCAACACAGCTTCCAGAGCTCCCTAAAGAGGGAGAGCCTTTTCCTATACAGCAGGAGACCCCAGTTCAGACTCCAGAGGCACCTGAGGAGAGTGAACCTTCTCCAACCCAGCAGGAGGCACAGACTCAGTGTCTAAAGACACCTAAGGAAGTTACACCACGAACTTCAGTGCATCATGAGGTGACTCTTCAACCTCCAGGTCAGAATCAAACTCATCATTCATCCGTGCCCAATATCACAATTAAACCAGCAGATGTGGAGCTTACCCTAACCACAGAGCCTGTTAAGGAGGTTCAATCATGTCCAACTCAGCAGGAAGCCCCAGCACAGCCTCCAAAGCCTCCCCAGGAGGTTAAGCCTTGAAGCCAGCATGAGGTCCAGGCTCAGCCTCAAGAGCCCTCTGAGGAGGCTGAGCCTTCTCCAGTCCAGCAGGAAGCCCCAGTTCAGCCTCCAAAGCCCTCTGAGGAGGCTGAACCTCCTCCAGTCCAGCAGGAAGCCCCAGTTCAGCCTCCAAAGCCCTCTGAGGAGGCTGAACCTTCTCCAGCCAGCAGGAAGTCTGAGCACAGTCTCCAAAGCCCTCTGAGGAGGTTGAACCTTCTCCAGTCCCCCAAGAGGCTCCAGCTCAGCCTCCAAAGCCCTCTGAGGAAGTTGAACCTTCTTCAGTCCAGCAGGACGTCCCAGCTCAGCCTTCAAAGCCCTCTGAGGAGGTTGAACCTTCTCCAGTCCCTCAAGAGGCTCCACTTCAGCTTGCAAAGCCCTCTGTGGAAGCTGAACCTTCTTCAGGCCAGCAGGAAGCCCCAGCTCAGCCTCCAAAGCCCTCTGAAGAGGTTGAACCTTCTCCAGTCCAGGAGGAAGCCCTAGCACAGCCTCCAAATGCTACCGGAGTAGTTGAAGCTTGTCCCACACAGCAGGTGGCCTCACCTCTGCCTCTACAGAGCCCAGAGGAGGTTGCATCTCCTTCAGTCCAGCAGGAAGCCCCAGCACATCCTCCAAAGCCCTCTGAAGAGGTTGAACCTCCTCCACTCCAGCAGTAGGCTGCAGCTCAGCCTCCAAAGCCTTCTGAGGAGGTTGAACCTTCTCCTGTCCAGCAGGAAGCTCCAACACAGCCTCCAAACCCCTCTGAGAAAGTTGAACATTCTCCAGTCTCGCAGGAAGCTCCAGCTCAGCCTCCAAAGCCCTCTGAGGAAGTTGACCATTCTCCAGTCCCACAGGGGACTCCAGCACAGCCTCCAAGGCCCTCTGAGGAAGTTGAACATTCTCCAGTCATGCAGGAGGCTCCAGTTCATCCTCCAAAGCCCTCTGAGGAGTTTGAACCTGCTACAGCCCTGCAAGACACTCCAGCTCAGCCTCCAAAGCCTCTCAAAGTTGAACCTTCTCCAGTGCAGCACCTCCAGAGCACCGTGAGGAAGTTGAACCCTCTCCAGTCCAGGAGGAGGCCCCAGGGCTACCTGCAGAGCACCCTGAGGAGGTTGAACACTCTCCAGTCCAGCCAGAGGTCCCAGCTCCCCCTCCAGAACTCCCTGAGGTGGTGGAACTTTCTCCAGTCCAGGAAGAAGCCCCAGCACAGCCTCCAAAGCCCTCTGAGGGTATTGAACCTTCTCCAAACCAGCAGGAATTTCCAGCTGAGCCTCCAAGGCCCCCTGAAGAAATTAAACCTTCTCCAATGGAGCAGAAGGCCCCAGATCCTCCTCCAGAGCTCCCTGAAGAGGGTGAACCTTCTCCAGTGCAGCAGGAAGCCCCAGCACAGCCTTCAAAGCCTGCCCAAGAGGTTAAACCTTCTCCAACCCAACAGGAGGCCCCAGTTCATCCTCCAGAGCCCACTGAGGAGGTTGAGCATTCTCCAGTCCACCAGGAAGCCCCAGTACAGCCACCAAGGCCTTTCCATGAGGTTAAACCTCCAGTCCAGCAGGAAGCCCCAGCTCAGCATCCAAAGCCTCTCCATGAAGTTGAACCTTCTCCAGGCCAGCAGGAGGCTCCAGCTCAGCCTCCAAAGCCCTCTGAGGAAGCTTAACCTTCTCCAGTACAGGAGGAAACCCCAGCAGAGCCTCCAAAGCCCTCTGAGGAAGTCGGACCTTCTCCAGTGCAACCGGAGGCTCCAGCTCAGCCTCCAGAGCCCCCTGAGGGGTTTAAACCTTCTCCAGTCCAGCGGGAAATCCCAGCACGGCCTAAAATGCAGCATGAATCTCAGGTACAGCCTCCAAATCCCTCTGAAGGTATTACACCTTCTCTAAACCAGCCGCAGTTTCCAGCTAAGGCTTCAAGCCCCTCTGAGGAAATTAAACCTTCTTCAACCCAGGAAGAGGCTCCTGCTCAGGCTACAAAGCCCATTGAGGAAGTTGGACCTTCTCTAGTACAGCACGGGGACACACATCAGCCTGCATAACTCCCTGAAGAGGTGGAACCTTCTCCAGTCCAGCAGGAGGCCCCGACTCAACCTCTGGAGCCTCCTACAGAGGTTATAGCTCAAACTACCACAAATCATGAGGTTCCACCACCAGGTCAGAATCAACCTTATCTTTCAAATTTGCCCAATGTTACAGTTAAACCTGCTGATCTGCAGCTTATCCTACCTCCGGAACCCATAAAGGAGGTTCAGTCATGTCCAACCCAGCATAAGGTCCAGCTGAGCCTCCAGAGACTCCTGAGAAGGTGAAACCTTCTCCAGTTCAGCCTCCTTAGGAGGTCAAACCTTCCCCAAAACAGCACGGGGCCCCAACTAAGCCTCTAGAGCCTGCTGAGGAAGTTGAACTTTCTCCAGTCCAACTAGAGGTCCCAGCTCATCCTCTAGAGCCCCCAGATGAGGTTTTAACCCTACCTTCATTGCATGATGGAGTGACAATTCAACCTCCAGGTCATCTTCAAGCTCACCATTCAGTCTTGCCTAAAGTATCAGTTAAACCTCTGGTTGAGCATTCTCCAACACAATGGGATGCCCCACTTCAGCGTCCAGAGTCCCCAGAGGAGGTTGGACCTTTTTCAACCAAGAAGCAAATCGCAGCTCAGCCTCCCGATCCACCCAAGGAGGTCGAACCTTCTTCAGTTGAGCAGGAGGACCCAGTTCAACCTCCAGATCCCCCTGACAATTCTCCAACCTTCTCCAGTCGAACAGAAGGACCCACCACAGTCCACAGAGCCATAAGAAGGATGAAACTTCTCCAACCCACCAGGAGGAACTAGCTCAGCCTCCGGAGCTCCTTGAGGAGGTTGAACATTCACCCATTCAAGTGGATGACCCAACACAGCCCCCAGACCCTGTTAAAGAGAATGAGCCTCCTCCAACCCAGCAGGAAGACCCACCTCTACCTCCAGAGCCCCCCTGAAGAGGTTGAACCTTCTCCAGTCCTGCAGGAGGGCCTAGCTCAACCTCCAGATTCCCCTACAGAGGCTGTAACTCAACCAGCAGGGCATCATGAGGTGACGGTTTCACCTCCAGGTCAAGGTGAAACTCAGCATCCAATGTTGCCCAATGTCACAGTTAAATCTCTGTATCTAGAGCTTACCATAACTACAGAAAACACTACAGAGGTTCAACCTTCTCCAGACCAGCAGGAGGTCACAACTCAATCTCCAGAGTCCCTTGTTGAGGTTGAACCTTCTCCAAGCTATCTGGCGGCCCCAGCGCAAACTCCAGAGCATCCTACAGAGGATGTACCTTCTCCAGACCAGCAAGAGACCCCACCTCAGCGTCCAGAGTCTGTCGTGGAGTTGGAACTCTATCCAGAACTGAAGCAGGCCCCAGCTAAGCCTCTAGAGTCTCCTACAGAGGTTGGACCTTCTCCAGTCTAGCAGGAAGACCTAACAGAGCCTGCAGATCCCACTGAAGACGTCCAACTTCCTTCAGGCCAGCAGGAAGCCCCAGCTCAACTTCCACAGAAACCTGAGGAGTCTGAACCTCCTTGAAACATACAGGAGACCCCAGCTGAGACTTCAGAGCCCCCTACAGAGGTTGTAACTCAACATCCACGGCATCATGAGGTGACAGTTTCACCCACAGGTCAGAGTGAAGCTCAGTACCCAGTGTTGCCCAATGTCACAGTTAAACCCCTGGATTTAGAACCTACTGTATCTCCACAACCCACAACAGAGATTGGACCTTTTCCAACCCAGCTAGAGGCCTCATCCCAGCCCCCTGAAAAGGTTGAACCTTCTCCAGTCCAGTAGGAAGCCCCAGTTCAGTTTCCAGAGCCCTTTGAGGGGATAGAACCTTCTTCAGCCCAGCAGAAGACACCAGCTGAGTCTCCTGAGCCCCCTGAGGAGGTAGAATCTTCTCTGGTCCAGCAGGAGACTCCACCTCAGCCCAGAGTCTCTTACACAGGTAGAAACTTCCCCAAAGTAGCAGGGGTCCCATTTCACACTCCAGAGCCCCCCAAGGAGGTTCAACTTTCTACACCCCACCAGAGGCTGCAGTTCAATCTCCTGAGCCCCTTATGCAGGCAGAACCTTCTCCATCCCAGCAGGAGGCTGCAGCTCTTACTCCTGAGACCCCTAAGGAGGTAGAATCTCCTCTGGTCAAGCAGAAGACTCCACCTCAGCCTCCAGAGTCTCCTACACAGGTGAAAACTTCCCTAAACCAGCAAGGGGTCCCATTTCAGACTCCAGAGCCCTCTAAGGAGGTTGAATCTTCTCCAGTGCAACAGGAGGCTCCAGTTCAGCCTCCAGAGCCCCCTATGCAGGTAGAACCTTCTCCAATACATCAAGAGGCCTCATCTCAGCCTCCAGAGATCCCTAAGAAGGCTGAAACTTCTCCAGCCCAGCATGAGATCCTAGCTCAGTCTCTTGAGCCCCCTATGCAGGTAGAGCCTTCTACAATCCAACAAGAGACCCCATTTCAGCCTCCAGAGCCCCCTGAGGAAGTCCAACAGTCCCCAGTCCAGTAGGAGGCTCCTGCTCCACCCCAAGAATCCCCTGCAAATATGCAACCATCTTCAGTGCAGCAGGAGGTCCCAGCTGCACCTTCAGACCCTCTAAGGAGGTAGAGCCTTCTCCAGTCCAGGAGGAGGCCACAACTCTACTTCCAAAGCTTTTTGAGAACATCCAACCATTTCTAGTCCAGCAGGTGGCCTCTGCCCCACCTCCAGAGCCCCCTAAAGAGGTTGAACCTTATCCAAGCCAACAGGAAGCCCCAGCCTCACCTCCAGAGCCCCCTAAGGAGGTGAAGCCTCCTCCATCCCTGCAGGAGGTCCCACCTCAGTCTCCTGAGTCTTCTAAGAATGCTGAACCTTCTCCAACTCAGCAGGAGGCCCCAGTTCATCCTCCAGAGCCCCCTAAGGAGATAGAACCTTCTCCAGTCCAGCAGGGTGTTCCAGCACAGCCTTCAGAGCCTCCTAAAGTGGAGGAATCTTTGACAACCCAACAGGTGGCCCCAACTCAACCTCTGGAGCCTCCTAAGGAGGGTGTAGTTCAACTTCCAGTGCTTCATGAGGTGACAGTTTCACCAACAGGTCAATATCAAGTTCAGCATTCAAACTTACCCAGCATTACAGCTCAACCTTTGGACCTGGAGCTTACCATAACTCCGGAACACACTATGGAGGCTGAACATTCTACAGCCCCACAGAAGTCTACAGCTCCTCTTCCAAATTGTCCTGAGGTGACCATTCCACATCCAGACCAGTTTCAGGCTCAGCATCCAAATCTGACTAAAAGTACAGTTCAACCTTTGAACCTGGAGCTTACCATAATACCAGGACCCACTACACTGGCTGAACATTCTACAGCCCTGCAGAAGACTACAGCTCCTTCTCCAAAGTGCCCTGAGGTGACACTTCTACATCCGGACCAGGTACAGGCTCAGAAGCCAAACCTGACGAAGTCACAGTTCAACCACTGGACCTGGAGGTTTCTATAACTCCAGAACCCAATATGGAGGTCAATCCTTCTCCAACCAAACAGAAGACCCCAACTCAGCCCCAGAGCCACCTGAGAAGTTTGTAGCTCAATTTCCATTGCCTCATGAGGTGACAGTTCCACCTACAGGTCAGGTTCACACTCAGCATTGAAACTTACCCAACATCACAGTTAAACCTGTGGACCTGGAGCTTACCATAACTCCAGAACCCATTATGGAGGCTGAACATTCTACAACCCTGCAGAAGATCACAGCTCCTCCTACAAAGCAAGTCACCATTCAAACTTTAGACTTGGAGCTTACCATATCACCAGAACCCAATACAGAGGTTGAGTCTACTCCAGCCAAGCAGGAGACTCCAACTCAGCCTCCAGAGCCTTCTAAGGGGGTTGTAGCTCAACATCCAGCACATCATGAGGTGACAGTTCTACCTTCAGGTCAAGGTGAAGTTCAGCATTGAAACTCGCCCAACGTCACCATTCAGCCTTTGGACCTGGAGCTTACCATATCTCCAGAACCCAAAACAGAGGTGGAACCTTCTCCAGCCAGGCAAGAGACTCCAACTCAGCCTCCAGAGCCACCTGAGGAGGCTGCAGCTCAATTTCCAGTGCATCATGAGGTGACAGTTCCACCTACAGGTCAGGATCAAGCTCAGCATTCAGACTTACCCAACATCACAGTTAAACCTGTGGACCTGGAGCTTACCATAACTCCAGAACCGATTATGGAGGTTGAATATTCTACAGTCCCGCAAGGGACTACAGCTTCTTCTCCAGAGCATCCTGAGGTGACATTTCCACCTCCAGGTCAGGATCAAGCTCAGCATTCAAACTTACCCAACATCACAGTTAAACCTGTGGACGTGGAGCTTACCATAACTACAGAACCCATTATGGAGGTTGAATATTCTACAGTCCCGCAGGAGACTACAGCTTCTTCTCCAGAGTATCCTCAGGTGAAATTTCCACCTACAGAACAGGTTCAGGCTCAGCATCCAAACCTGACTGAAGCTACAGTTCAACCTTTGGACCGGGAACTTACCATAACTCCCAAATTCACTTCAAACATTGAACATTCTACAGCCCTGCAGAAGACCACACCTACTCCAAAGCAAGTCACGGTTAAGGCTTTGGATTTGGAGCTTACCATATCTCCAGAACCCATTATGGATGTCAAACATTCTACAGCCCTGCAGAAGACCACAGCTGCCCCAAAACAAGTTACAGTTAAACCTGTGGATCTAGAGCTTACCATACCTCCAGAACCCACTAAGGAGATCGAACATTCTACAGCCCTGCAGAAGACCACATCTCCAAAGCCAGTTACAGTCCAACCTTTGGATCTAGAGCTTACCATATCTCCAGAACGCACTATGGAAGTCAAACATTGTACAGTCCTGAAGAAGATCACATCTCCAAATGAAGTTACACTTAAACCTTTGGGGCTAGAGCTTACCGTAACTCAGCAACCAGGATTATCAGAGGGAGTTATTTTTCCCCCAGCGGCTCAGCATTTATTGGAGTATTCTATAAATTACACCCCAGAAAGGGGGCAAAAAGCTCTAACTTAGCAACAGGAACAGAATGCCGTCACACATCACCCCCTAGAAAGGACAGAAATGGCTCTAACTGAGCGACACGAACAGAATGCTATCACACATCACACCCTTAAAAGGGTGCAAATGGCTTTAACTGAGCAACCAGAGCAGAATGCCACCAACGGAATGAAGACTGGCATATGTGAGCTCTGTATCTGCCAAAACGAAACGCTGTCCTGTACTGGCCTCCCCCCAGAGGCTCCTCAGAGTGCCTGTGCCAGAGCCCAACGAGTACAATGGCACCTTCACTGTCTTGTAAGAATTGCCCTTCCTCATTTGTTCTCTGCACCCTGTTTGACATGACAGCTTTTTCCCTGAGGTCTTCCTGGGCTTCCTCATCTTCCCAACTCACGTTGAGCGACTTTCTTGTTTACCTTTTGTTTGTCAACTTTTCCTTGTCCTCATTCCTCTCCTTACTATAGTGCCCACTTCTCCAGGCTTTTACTTGTGGTTACCCTTACTATTTTTCCTGACCCATTTTTCTTTAGCCCCATCATTTCATGCCTTAACCTCTGTTCTCTTCCCAATTTTGCTCCATCCTCTTTCCAGGATCATGTTCAACTTTCCATCGCATTGGTGATGATACAACAAAGTGATTAAAGAGAGAGATTTTGGAGCCAAACTGCCTGGGTTTGAACCTAGCTCTGTGACTCAGTTTCCTCATCTGTAAAATTACTATCTCATAGGATTGTTGTGAGATTTAAATAAGTTCATATATGTTAAGCATTTATATAAGCACTTAGCATATGTCAATGTTAGCTATTATAATTTTATTCCATGGTTAGGTCCAGGCTTCATCTTTGTCCCTGGCCTTCTATGTCTAGCACCTGTTAATATGCCCAATCCAGGGCTAGGTACTGTAGGAGCCACAGAAGTATGAGACATTAGCCTGTTAACATAACAATGATAGATGGGAGAAAAATAATGTACATGAAAAGGGAAGTGGTGCATAATTAAGTACTAAAAGAGATGGAGACCATAGGTGCCCTAATTCACCAGAATCCATAATCACCTACATGTGGAGGACAGAGAAAGCTACAGGGACAAGATAAAACTTTAGCTTAAAGAGTGACTGAAACCAAAACCCACTGCCGTTGATTCCGACTCATTGAGACCCTATAGGACAGAGTAGAACTGCCCCACAGGGTTTTCAAGGAGTGGCTGTAGTGGTTTCGAACTGCTGGCCTTTTGGTTAGCAGGCAAGCTCTTAACCACTGCACCACCAGGGCTCCTAAGAGTGACTAGGATTTGCTAAATCGAGAAAAATAGGGAATACAGCCTAGGCAAAGGCATGGCTGCAGGAATGACCAGGATTTAGTAGACCAGTGTGGCTACAAAGCAATGAAAGATAAGATTTTGAAAAACCTTGAATATCAACTATAGAGGTTTGAAAGTTACACTATGAGCTATGGAGCGCCATTGAAAGTTTTCAAGCAAGAGAGAGAAATTATTAAAACAGGAGGATTATTCTAGAATCCATGTGTAGGGCCATCTAGAAAGGAAAGCTTGATTCAGGGAGACCAAATAGAAAGTTCTAGCAAAATCTAGAAGCAAAGTGAAAAGGGGCTGAATCAGAACAGGTGTGATAGGAATGGAAAGAGAATCCTATGAGCACTTCAAAGAAAAGGACAGGATTTGGTGACTGACTAGAGAGTTGGGGAAGTGGTGTACAGGAATGAGAAAAACTCAAATATGACTCCAGAATTTTTGTCCTGGATGATTGGGAGAATGATGGTGGCAGAACACACAGATGGATATCCAGCAGTCAGGAAGGAGAACCAGTGTGAGGAAGCCGAGTTCAGTTTCAGGCATCTTTTGTTGGTGAGCATAAAGCTATCAGAAGTTTCTGGTTGAGTGGAAATGTCCACCAGGCAGATGGGCACGCAACTTAAGTGTTTTGACTTAATTTCAAACGTCACCTATTTGTTGCTGAGGGAAAAGGACAGAGTTAAAGGTAAAGATTCAAAGTCATCTACAGAGTTAGTGGTTGAAACTGAACCTGAGGAGTTTAACAACTTATTTTAAACATATGTCATTCGTGGATACATTTCCATGGTATAATAATTGTAAAAAGTGTCACAGAAGAATATAGGATAAAATGTGAAAGTCCCCTCCCCTTCCCCTATCACCGGTAGAATAACGCCTGTCACCATTGAGTATGTGTCCTTCCTTCCAGTCTCTTCCCTTTGCATTTACATACATATACGTGTTTATATTAATGAGGAAACATGTTACTTCTTGCTCAGCGATTTGCATTTTTTTCATTAAGCAGTATGCCTAAGAGATCTTTCCACGCCAGTCCATCAGTCCCTCTAGTTTCTAATTGCCCTTATCCTTCCAACACCTGGAGAGGTTTCAACAGTGGGCCCTTCACCAAAGCTGTGGTGTTGCCTGGCATGCATTTTCTTTATACATATTTGTTGATAATGATAAAGGAGAAGAAATTGGGCAGATAGGAAGGTCAGGTTCTGAGGAGTTGGCCTTATCATTTGTGCCACTGCCCCCTACAGTCTGTCTTTATTAATTGAGCCAACTTGGCAGCTGACAGTTGAAGAAAGCAGAAAGCTGATATTTTCTGCATCTGAATATTTCCCATAAGGTTGCCATGATTCTTTATACTTATTCTGTTCTTTCTTATTCCTACCTATTCAAAGATATGAACCGTTTTTCTATACAGAAATTTCAAAGGAAACTCTGTTTTGGACATTGAGGAAAATACTTGGAAGGCATACCTTTGGACTGAGAAACTTTGAGTATATCCTCTCCAAATATGAACACAGAAAACTAACTGCATTGTAAGATCCTTCTTGGTCCAGAATTTTGAGGCCAGTACCTCTGAGAAAAGATATTTTGCGCTCTTCATATCCCAAACTGACCTGTATGGATTCCAATTCTATGGTAATTTTTAAAATTAAATTTGTGGGTTCTGTTTAAGTAAGGGGCAATTTATCTTTTATTTTACAAATAATACATGATTGTATTTTTAGTGTATAAAACAAATAACAGGTATAGTAAAAACCCTTCTTGTTCCCTAATCTCCCACCCTTGAGGTAACCACATCTGAGTTTTCTGTATATCTTTCTAGATCATATTCCGTGCATTTGCCTACATCCATATTTACATATAGCAGAGTAGGTTTATTGTGTGTGTGTTTTTTCTTTTTATAGACTTTTTTTTTTAATGGCAAGGATGTTTATTGAACACTTTTGGGGGGTTGGTTTTGACTTTTTTGAGAGTAGAAAGCAATTTTATCCCATCTACCTGTAAGAATGCAATCTGAGGACATCCCAGTCCTACAGATGAAATCCCATGGGTGAAGCCTGAGGAGCCCTATAACTTTTTCAGTTACTCAGATAATAAAATTCCTCTCATCACTTTCAGTCACAAGATCAGTGCTAGTTCCAGTCCAGTGCCTCAATCACATAAGTCAATACTCTGGATGAATTGAAGACTTCTCCCTTCCCCCAGCATGAGCCATTTTTTAAACCTAGAAGCTTACAATGTAGAGAGGGGTCCTGGCTGGCTTCTCTGTTTCCTTCCCTTGCATCTCTTATTCTCCATCCCTCCATTCTACTCGCTGCCTCTGGCTTCTCGGAAGTTGGTGAGGAGAGTGGTGGAGAGGAAAAGGCTGATATCCTCTGGTAGTGCTGCCCTCTAGGTATGGCATTTCCCATGATAGATTCTTCACTTCCTGGGTTTCTCAAAAATAACACCACTGAGGTCTCCAACTGCCCCTCACTTGACCTGGTGGTGCTTCTTCTCCAGCTGGCTTCTCATGAAGACCCTTCAGTTTCCACATACAACTATATGATGCCAGCTTCTTCTGCCCAGGCTGTCCTTATCTCCAGCAGGAACCGATACTGATGGAGCCCTTTTTAAAAGTCCATTTGCGTAATAGGCAACCTAAGGTTGAGAAGGGACAGTGTTGACAATCTGTGGGGTTGTTAACCACTGTCATAAAACAATATGTGTACTGTTTAATGAGAAACTATGTGTTCTGTAAACCTTCATCTAAAGTACAATAAAAAAATTAAAAGAAAAAAAGTCCATTTGTGGAGTCCATTTCTGGCCCATAGACCACAAAGAGATTTGTCAATATTTTTCATAAAATTATTTTATCATATATGCTCTAAGTATATTTTAAATATATAACTCATTCAGTTTGTAAAAAACATCATATAATCTAATTGGTAAAGCTAGTCCTCACTGTCAAACAGATCAGCCAAACCATTTTTGTTTTCTTTTAGGAAGAAGTCCAATTTCTTTTTAATTTTTATATCATAGATTTTTTATTTTTTATTTTTTTTTATTGTTGTGCTTTAAGTGAAAGTTTACAATTCAGGTTAGTCTCTCATACAAAAATTTATACATAGTTTTGTGACCCTACTTGCTCTCCCTATAGTGTGACAGCACACTCTTCCTTTCCACCCCAGATTTCCCGTGTCCATTCAACCAGGTCCTGACCCTCTCTGCCTTCTCATCTCGCCTCTGGACAAGAGCTGCTCATTTAGTCTCATGTATCTACTTGAGCTAAGAAGCACATTCTTCATGAGTATCATTTTATGTCCCATAGTCCAGTCTAATCTTTGTCTAAAGAGTTGACCTTGGAATGGTTTTAGTTTTGGGCTAACAGAGAGCCCAGGGGCCACGTCTTCCAGGGTCCCTCCAGTCTCAATTAAACCATTAGGTCTGGTCTTTTTAGTAGAATTTGAGTTCTGCCCCACACTATTCTGCTCCATTGGGGACTCTCTTTTGCGTTCCCTGTCAGGGCAGCCATTGTGGTTGCCAGGCACCATCTAGTTCTTCTGGTCTCAGGCTGATGAAGTCTCTGTTTTTTGTGGCCCTTTCTGTATCTTGAGCTAATAATTTCCTTGTGTCCATGGTGTTCTTCATTTTCCTTTACTCCAGGTGGGTTGGTACCAGTTGATGCATCTTAGATGGCCGCTCACTAGCGTTTAAGACCCCAGACACAACTCACCAAAGTGGGATGCAGAACATTTTCTTTAAAAACTTTTATGTGCCAGTTGACCTAGATGTCCACTGAAAGGATGGTCCTTAGACACCCTCCCCTGCTACTCTGTCCCTCAAAGTGTTTGGCTGTATTCAGGAAATTTCTTAGCTTTGGTTTAATCCAGTTGTGCTGACTTCACCTGTAGTGTGTGCTGTCCTGCCCTTCACCTAATTCTTGTCTACTTTCTAGTTAGTGAATAACACTCTCTCTCCCTCCCCACCCTCATAAACATCAAAGAATGTTGTCTTCTATATTTAAACTTTTTCCTGGGTTTTTATAATAGTGGTCTTATGCAACATTTGTCCTTTTGCAACTAAGTTCACTCAGCATAATACCCTCCAGATACCTCCATGTTATAAGATGTTTCACTGATTCATCATTGTTCTTTATCGTTGCGTAGCATTCCATTGTGTGAATATACCATAATTTGTTTATCCATTCGTCCATTGATGGGCATCTAAGTTGTTTCCATCCCTTTGCTATTGTAAACAATGCTGCAATGAACATGGGTGTGCATTTATCTATTCGTGTGACGGCTCTTAATTCTCTAGGATATATTCCAAGGAGTCAGATTGCTGGATTGTATGGTACTTCTATTTCTAACTTTTTAAGGAAGCGCCAAATTGATTTCCATAGTGGTTGTACCATTTTACATTCCCACCAACGGTGTATAAGTGTTCTAGTCTCTCCACAACCTCTCCAACATTTATTATTTTGTGTGTTTTGGATTAATGCTAGCCTTGTTGGGGTGAGCTGGTATCTCATTGTAGTTTTGATTTGCGTTTCTCTAATGGCTAATGATAGTGAGCATTTCCTCATGTGTCTGTTAGCCACCTGAATATCTTCTTTGGTGAAGTGTCTGTTCATCCTTTGCCCATTTTCTAACTGGATTGTTTGTCCTTTTGTTGTTGAGGTTTTGAGGTATCTTGTAGGTTTCAGAGATTAGACGCTGATCAGATTTGTCGTAGCCAAAAATTTTTTCCCAGTCTGTAGGTTGTCTTTTGACTGTTTTGATGAAGTCTTTTGATGAGCATAAGTGTTTGATTTTTAGGAGCTCCCAGTTATCTAGTTTCTCTTCTGGTGCTTGTACATTGTTACTTATGGTTTGTTTTCTGTTTATGCCATGTATTAGGGCTGCTAGCGTTGTCCGTATTTTTCCTTCCATGATCCTTATAGTTTTTGATTTTATATTTAGGTCTTTTATCCATATTTATTTAGTTTTTGTGCACGGTGTGAGGTATGGGTCCTGTTTCAGTTTTCTGCAGATGGATATCCAGTTATGCCAGCACCATTTGTTAAAGAGACTGTCTTTTCCCCAATTAATGGACTTTGGGCCTTTGTCAACTTTCAGCTGCTCGTAGGTGGCTAAATTTGTATCTGGATTCTCAATTCCGTTCCATTGGTCTGTGTATCTGTTGTTGTACCAGTACCAGTCTGTTTTGACTACTGTGGAGGTATAATAGGTTCTAAAATCAGGTAGTGTGAGGCCTCCCACTTTGTTCTTCTTCTTTAGTAATGCTTTGCTTATCCAGGGCCTCTTCCCTTCCCATATGAAGTTGGTGATTTGTTTCTCCATCTCATTAAAAAATGCCGTTGGAATTTGGATCGGGATTGCATTGTATCTGTAGATCACTTTGGGTAGAATAGACATTTTCACAATGTTAAATCTTCCTATCCATGAGCAAGGTATGTTTTTCTACTTATGCAGGTCTCTTTTAGCTTCTTGCAGTAGTGTCTTGTAGTTTTCCTTGTATAGATTTTTTACGTCTCTGGTTAGATTTATTCTTAAGTATTTTATCTTCTTGGGGGCTGTTGTAAACGGTATTGATTTGGTGATTTACTCTTGGAGGTTCTCTCTGTTGGCGTAGAGGAATCCAACTGATTTTTGTATGTTTATCCTGTATCCTGATACTTTACTGAAATCTTCTATTAGTTGCAGTAGTTTCCTTGTGGATTCTTTGGGGTTTTCTGTATATAACATCATATCATCTGCAAATAGAGATACTTTGACTTCTTCCCTACCAATCTGGATGCCCTTTATTTCTTTGTCTAGCCTAATTGCTCTGGCTAAGACCTCCAGCACAATGTTGAATAAGAGTGGTGATAGAGGGCATCCTTGTCTGGTTCCCATTCTCAAGAAGAATGCTTTCAAAGTCTCTCCATTTAGGATGATGTTCATTGTTGGGTTTGTATGAATGCCCTTAATTATGTTGAGGAATTACCCTTCTTTTCCTATTTTGTTGAGAGATTTTATCATGAATGCGTGTTGGACTTTGTCAAATGTCTTTTCTGCATCGATTGATCAGATCATGTGGTTCTTGTCTTTTGTTTTAATTATGTGATGGATTACATTGATTGTTTTTCTAATGCTGAACTATCCCTGCATACCTGGTATAAATCCCACTTGATCATGGTGAATTATTTTTTTGATATGTTGCTGAATTCTGTTGGCTAGAATTTCGTTGAGGATTTTTGTGTCAATGTTCATGAGGGATATTGGTCTGTAATTTTGTTTTTTTGTGCTCTCTTTACCTGGTTTTGATATCAAGGTTATGCTGGCTTCATAGAATGTGTTTGGGAGTATTCCATCCTTTTCTATGCTCTGAAATACCTTCAGTAGAAGTGAAGCCATCGGGCCAGGGCTTTTTTTTGCTGGGAGTTTTAGTGAGTTTCTAGAAATTTGTCCATTTCCTCTAGGTTTTCAAATTTGTTGGTGTACAATTTTTCATAGTATTCTGTTATGATTCTTTTAATTTCAGTTGGGTCTGTTGTGATTATCACCCATCTCATTTCTTATATGGGTTATTTGCTTCCTCTCCGGTTTTTCTGTTGTCAGCTTGGCCAATGGTTTATCAGTTTTGTTGATCTTTTCAAAGAAAACCAGCTTTTGGTCTTGTTAACTTTTTCAATTATTTTCTATTCTCTGTTTCATTTAATTCTACTCTAATTCTTATTATTTCCTTTCTTTTGGCGCCCCAGAGTTTCTTTTGCTGTTCTCTTTCTACTTCTTCCAGTTGTAGGGTTAATGTTTTGATTTTGGCCCTTTCGGATGTGTACATTTATTGCTATAAACTGACCTCTGAGCACAGCTTTTGCTGTCCCAAAGGTTCTGGTAGGATATGTTTTCATTCTCATTTGATTCTATGAATTTCTTTATTCCATCCTTAATTTCTTGTATAACCCAGTAGTTTTTGAGCAAGGTGTTGTTCCGTTTCCATGTGTTTGATTTTTTTTCCTCACTTTTTCTGTTATAGATTTCTACTTTTATGGCTTTATGGCCAGAAAAGATGCTTTGTAATATTTTGATGTTTTGGATTTTGTTAAGGCTTGCTTTATGCCCTAGTATGTGGTCTATTCTGGAGAATGTTCCATGTGCACTGGAAAAGAACGTATACTTAGCTGCTGTTGAGTGTAGTGTTCAGTATATGTCCATGAGATCAAGTTGGTCGATTGTAGCGTTTAGCTCTTCCGTGTCTTTACCGAGTTTTTTTCTGGATGTTCCGTCCTTCACTAGTAGTAGAATGTTGATGTCTCCTACTATTATTTTGGAGCTGTCTATCTCTCTTTCCAATGCTGTTAGAGTTTGTTTTATGTATTTTGGAGCCCTGTCGTTGGGTACGTAAATATTTATTATAGGTATGTCCTCCTGGTGTACTGATCTTTTAATCATTATATAGTGTCCTTTCTTATCCTTTGCAGTGGATTTTACTTTCAAATCTGTTTTGTCAGAGATTAGTATTGCCACTGTTGCTCTTTTTTGAATGTTGTTTG